TTTCCTTTCTTTAGTTAGTGTGATGGCCCCAGGTTTGGGCCCTCTCCTGTTCTTTGTATCTTGCTGTGTTTTGTACCTTTAATCCAGGTAATTGGTGGGTGGAGTTGATACCTGGTGTGTGTTTGCCGCTTTTTGTCACTTACTGTTTTGTCAGATTGTGACAAAATGGGGGCTCTTCCGGGATCCAAAACCATTTGGTAATGGTTGATGAAGGAACGTTTCTCCTTTGGGATTCGTTCATAATATCTTGGTAGTGTTTTAGTGAACACGGTTAGAGCAGTTGTCTCGGGGGCACATCCCTGGACTCGAGGGGGTCGCTGTTTAGTTGCCTTTCTCGCACTGTAAGTAACTGCATGAAGACTAGGGTTGAGGTTAATAAGTTTCTGAGTAGGTTGTTAGTGGGAAGGCTCTGATTTTGTTTTGCACACCGGATTTTGTCTTGTTATGGCCACTGTTGCTACCTTTGTTCGGTCTCCATCTGAGGAGCTTTTAAATAGTTGTACAAAAAATTAACTTTTGAAGCTCAGTCAGCATTATGACGTGGGAGAAATGGTTAAAGGATGAAATTAAGGAGTGTTAATGGTATCTTGCCAGCTACGATGCAGAGTCCAGGGTCTGTGGTTTACCCTACAGTAGCTTTAACCTTTGAGCAACAAAAAGAACTTCTGCTGTTGCAAATGGAAAGGGATAAATTAGCCTTTGAAAAGGAATGGCTAAGGCAGTCACTGGAAAGGGGAAAAACTGTTCAGATATTGCGACTGCTAGAGCTGTTGGTCTTGCCTCTAAATTTTCTTGGTCTGGTTGAGGAACTATAATGTCAGTGGGGAAGGGATCCATCTGGGTTAGCGCCTGAGACTTGGTGGGTTGGCCAGCTGGCTTTGGTAACATTAAGTGCTATAGCTCATGCTTTGATTAGTATGAATTTCGTTGTTGCGTTGATGCGTTGTTCTGGGTGCTCATTCTGTCACTTACTGTTGAGCCAGGTTGTGACATAGCAAAGGAACATCGACTTAGGAACTGTTAATCTGTAATGGCCTTTTTCCTAAATCAGTTTCTAACCCTTATTACCATGGTTACCAAACAGTTAGGATAGGATCTTCCAGTTAGGAAGTTTCTGTAATACGTAAAACTGTCAATATTGAAATCTACATAGTTGATTTCTCACCTCAAAACATAAAACTTTCTGCTGCTTGCCTCTGTCAGGCGTGCGCAATGATGATGCAGTGAATAGTGATGATTCTCCCTGACCAATAAGTAGTCGGCTGTGTTTTCATGTCACATTTTAGTATCGCCTCAGCTCGCTTGGAACCTCAACGGAGGTGATACGAAAAAAAGTACCTGGTAGCAGGTACAACTTTTCCACAATGGAAAACCAAAAACAGAACAAGGCGAGTCGAGCCGAGCCGAGCTGGTACCGTGCAGTGGAAAAGGGGCTTTAGAAATTCTACTGCAGGGTAGGGCCCTTTAAATATCTGTCTGAAGCTCTGGGGCTAAGTAAAGGACATCATGTGTTAAATTCAAAGCCAATGGTTGACAACACTGATCTCAGGTCGCTTAGCTCAAGGTGAAGGCCTCTGCTTGGTGGGTTGGGGCAGCAGTCGTCTTATGTGCATGTGTTCTCGCACAGAGTTAAAAAAATTTTGGTAGACTATTAATATGTTACAAGTCGAGGTGGATATTTTATGCATGGACCAGGTAAAGCAACAGTGAACACACAGGGTACAGATGTTGGTTTCAGTTGTTTGATAGGCTGCGTCATTAATAAGCCGACGCCTGCTGCTGTGACAAAGGATCGCGGGTGGAAATATATGGAAAAAAGATGAGTTCTCAGTCTTTTAGGCAACTTTATAAAACATACTGCAGATGGAGAAAATGGAGCAGACGAGGGGAGAGAGAGGCGGTGTGTGTGTGAGTGTGTCAGAGTGTGGGGAGAAAAGAATTCAGAGGCAGGTGCAAAGCATACTTAAAAAGAATGTTCGTGGTCATAAAAACCTGCTTTCACAGGGTGGTATAATGTGAAAATTGGAGATTATTTTTGCTGAGCGCGGCGGAGGTTTTACAATCTCGATGCCAGCTCAACGTCGTGATGTCTGTCAGCCATTGCCGATGGAAGATGGGATCGTCTATCGGCCCAACCCCAGACATCAATATCTTTTATGCCTTAGAGCAAATAACATATACACAACAGCAAAACAAGGCAGTCACACAAAACAATCATCACACACAGAGATACACTGATTAAAACAATCAAAGATGTTGTATCAGAAAGTGAAACATCCTGATACTTAGCGGCATGAGCATAAATGATATCTCCTTTTTGAATTGTTACTTATGATAGATAGATGGATAGATAGATAGATATAGATATGTGTGTGTGTGTTGTTGCCATTATTTGGGGCAGGCTAGGTTATTTAGTTATTTTAACTTTTATTGTTTTAATCCTGTGTCATGCTTCGATGTTATGCGTGACACTATGTTGTATGATGTTTAAAGTTTGTTTTATTTCTGTACATTTTCTGTTTCTGCACGTACTTGTTTTATGTTGGTTTGAATCTGTGTGCTTTTGTTTGTGTTTTCTTGGTGAACATGAGAAATAGTGTGTTATGTGTAGGTTGTTTTATGTCAGAATAAAACCCCACCAATAGTAAATATTTTTTATGCATAGAACAAAACGCAACATTCTTAATATTGATCTTTGTTGAATTTAAAACCAGTAGCAAAACAATTTGAGATCTACCAAAAAATATGAGGTACAAAAGTTGTAAGCAAGTATTAAAAGCAACAAAATGTTGTGATTGGTGGTATTAAAAGCATTAAACAGACCCAGAAATCCATAGAGAGCACAATGTTGCCTCTAATCAAAACAAATAATAATGTCATCCACAAGAGCAGTCCCAAGTGTAATTCTACTATGACCTATAAAAGCAATCATCATACTATGACAAAATTATGCAGCTTTAAGATCCAAAATATGAGGGTCACAGGAAAATACACCATTTGGTTGCTGTAGTTATTTTTGTATAATTTTCACGGCACTCTGACCCTTCCATTCCCAGTGCAAAGATAGTCAAATGGTCAATAGCACAATGACTGAGGCAAAGGAATGAATTCAATTGTATTTTTTTAAGGTTTATGCTTTCATCAAAAGTATTCTGCATTCAAAATCAACTTCAAATCCCAGAGGGTATATGCAGGTAGATTTGAATAACCAAAAGAAATGGATGAAGGGCTAGACACAGCTGCAGTCTGGTTGTAGACAGTGTACTACAGCAGTAAAACAAATAACTGAAAACCCATGAGAACCTTCAAATATACATGGGTTATATTCCACCCAAACTGGTTTACAGAAAAGTGCCAGGAGCAAGATGTGGAGTTATTTTTTTCCCCCACACATCACACACACACACACCCCAGCACCACCATAAAATGAACCCTCCTGTGTAAAAGCAACTGCGTGAGCAACTCATTGCTTGAGGATTTTTCATGTTTGTTTTCAATTGTAATAGAGGTGGATTTCTGACATACATTACAATTTGGGGCAGCAAGCATCTCTTGTAACTGAGACCTTAGAGAGTCTCTATTGTAGTGAAAGTCTGGTGTCGGGTTTTGTCACTGGCAGGAAATCTTTGCACAAACAAAGCCAAGAGTGCAATACACCTATACAGCTCTGACTTGTTTATTCCAGAGAGACCTACACTCATCAGGTCTCTCAAAGTAAAAAGCATCATGGGTGGACAAATGAAGGTGGACATCAGTGTGCTGAGAATTAGTTAACTGATGTTATGTTACATTGTGAGATCTGACGATATAAAGTTTACACAAATTCGAACAAATGATTTTGGGTTGCATTCACAATAAAAATAAAAACAATAAAAATACAAATTGTCAATATTTTCTGACTTCAAAGACATAGATTGAAACCTAGCACCAAGAGTTTAGGATTAAAGGAATAGTTCAACATTTTGACAAATATGTTCCTCGCTTTCTTGTCAAGAGATAAATGAGAATATCGATTCCACTCTTATGTTTGTCTGCTGAATATGAAGATACAGCCAGCAGCCAATGAGCCAATTAGCTCAACAGCTATCCTGGCTCTGTCCAAAGGTAAACACATTTGACTACCAGCACCTCTTAAGCTCAGTAATCCACACATTATCAACCACACAAAAAATAAAATGCAAAAGCTATGTGTCTACAGGGGGTAATGTTTGGAACTACTAGTGCTCCTTCTTACAGAAGAAGTGACCACCTGTTTTTGTTTTGTTTTTTACATTTGGACAGAGCAAGGCTATTTTATGCTGCCTCCAAACAGATGCAATTCAAAGTACATTTAGCTGCACTTTCCAACTCCAGTGGTCCAAACAGTAAGAGAGAGAAACATTTTACTGACTCCTGCTACAGCAACACCAGACAGTGAGGACACTCCAACAGCACTACATGTCCTTGACAAATCTACCAACATTTTCTCCTTTCACTTCTTTATTTAAAAAGCAGCCCTGGTGAAATGAAAGGCACACAGCTTCACTTAAAACAACGCTGAACTTCTGTTGAAACGTGCTATCTACCCACTCAATAAAGAAGTATAGCCTCCTAAACTTACGAAAAATATGCAAATGATAACTTTCAGGCATGGGTAAAATGTTTTCAAAGTCACTTTCAAATAGAACGTCAGGCAACTTTCACTTTAACAAACCAAAGAAGTCATAACAACAAGAGCAGAAGGGGATATTCTTTAAATGCTTTCTGATTTTCATCATTTCAGTATCCATCACTTTAAAGAAAGTAATAATATAACAACTCACAGCTTGGTATTCATCCCATAGATGAAAATAGAAGATTTTAGCCAATTTTAGTGTAGTTTACAGTATATCTCAAAACAGCTGGAGAAAGTCAATGTTGCCTAAAGTATCTGACATCAAATCAATTTTTTATTTCAACAACTAAGATGAAGTATTACTTGTGAATGGGGCTGCAGAGAAGTAACAAACTCAATGACTCACTGTTCTTGTAGGATAAAATCCATGTTCTCCTGAGAAATCTGTCCGGTCACAGGATGGCAAAACGTCGTGGTCCTCTGGTTATGACTGAGGTGACAGAGGGAGGGGAGAGAGGAGACAAAATTAGCAACCTTGGTTGCAATGAAAACACTGTGAGAGCATCACCCTGGGTTTTAACCCCCACTATGTTCACAAGTACAGCGGACACGAGCCGATCATTCCCCAGAGGAGTAGTGGGCTTAAAAGCTCTGTCCAACCTCTCCACCCTGATGGGCCTTCGTCCCTGACTTTCCCAACTCTGTGTAGAATGTGAAAGGAGGCTGCAGGACGTCCAACCCACCCAACACACCCTGTATAGCCTGTGTGGACCAAAATGTTGGGCTCAGCACAAAAAGCTGGACAGTGCAGGCCTGGGCCTCCATCAGTTATAGACTCAGTCAGTCATTCTAAGCCTCAGCCGGAGTGTAAAAGCATTTGACAGGGTAAACAACACAGGGTTGCGTGGATGGTCACAGTGTGTGTGTGTGTGTGTGTGTGTGTGTGTGTGTGTGTGTGTGTGTGTGTGTGTGTGTGTGTGTGTGTGTTGGGAGCTTAAGAGAACGGTTCTCCAATTCAACAGGAGCTTGAAATCCTCACACAGCAGACAGTTGACAGTGACTGTTGTGGTATATTGATGTTTATTACTAAAAGGATAATAGTTATGCTCTTTTGTCCTTATCTGAATCTGAAGTGACATCTTCAGAAACAGTGATGGACATGTTTCACTGTTTTCTGACATTATGGAAACTAAACAAGTAATCAATTCATTGTAAAAACAAAAAGTAGTGAGAATAACTGGTAGTTTGGTCATAAAATTAAGACCATGTAAATAGTTCTGGTTACCAAAATATGCCATGTAAACTATTAGCACTTCAATAAATATATGCCCTTTAAATATAAGGTAGAGACTAATGTAGTCACACAAAAGTATTATTTGCAGGGTCAACAGAGCCTCACAAACATATAAGAATAGCTTCAGTGCTGCATGCAGTTTGTCACAGAATCTGTAGTGACACAAAACAACTAACTCCAGTAGAGCTGATGGGCAGTCACCAACACAGCCACAACATTGATGAGAAATACCACGCACACTCCGCAAACACACCCCACGTGTGTAAAGTTTCGAAAACCTTTCCCATCTCTAACAACAATCAATATGTTGTAACACTGTTTTCATTCAAAACAGCTCACATTACTCATGCTGTTCAGATTCCTTCCTGACGTAGGAGAAGATCAAATCCTACAGGACTACAAGGTTCCCCAAGAGAACTGGTGACATGGCAGCAGCAGGCTCCGTAACAAGGACACACAATACCATTATTAGCTCACAGCACGAGACCTAAACACAACTTGTCACATGAAACTGGTCACGTCTAAATGCACCACCTGTAGACACTTTCTTTTCCGCTCATTCGCTTGTGTTAAAGTGTTCCCTGCCACCTGAGCCACTTCTACCATCAGTTGAGCCACTTCTACCACTACCTCTAGAATTACTATTACTAATAGCAGTAACACTAACAGAGGCTATAGAAATACATCATGTTTGATAAAGTAATATTTTCAGGTGAATTCACTTGACATTCACGTGACAGTGAAAGCCCAGAAGGAGCTGACGTGGGTGTAATATGCTGACATATTAGTCAATGAAATACCTTCTCTAGGCCCTAATAACTATCTTTAATTAAAAGTGTGCAAAATTACATGCTTTGGGTTTCAACGTTTTCCTGCAGCCCACATCTAGAAGCCAGAAGGTCTTCTGCATGAATATTAAAAACAATCAGAATTTTTATGGAAAAGACACAGAGAACACCAATCATCAAAAAAACAACAGAAAACACAAGATGCTGCAGGCTGTGTTTTTGATTCTGAGGTTCTAAGTAAAAATGAACATCTGGAGCATAAAGCAAAAAATTTGTAGTTTTCATAAGCCAAGGTGACTCACCTACAATGGTTCACAAGGGACTGTACTCACATTTACAAATGAATGTCAGATAGCCGACCATACAAAATCTTGACGGAGTGAAATGCACAAAAGGGTGTTTGGGTTAGGTGAGCATGAACAAACTTTACTCCCAATCCACAAGGAAGGAGAGCAGCACAGTACTGGAGATGTTGTTAGTCATGCTGCGGAGTGTTTTTTACAGTACAAAAACACCCAGTGCTCTGGATGGTACCTCGGGGGGATATGCTCAGTGCTTCAACATAAGGAGCCCCACAGCCAAGTCGTACACTGTCTAAGAATTAATAATCGTCTGAAAAGGAAGGAATAACACAGGTGCTAAATGGTGGCATCAGCATGTCAGTGCAGTTTTATTGATTGAACAGCTACCTGGGTCGATGCATCAAAAATACACAGTTAATATTGTAACAAAAAACAACAAAACAACAAATTAAAATAACAAGAAAGAAAAATCTGTCTAACTTATTCGGCTATGGTGATACATTTTTAAAAGGTATGAATATTTATGGCAGGGGTATCTGGTGGATTGTGTGAATGGATTCCATAAAAAAAAAAATAGAATTATATTTGACAGGAAAATGTTACATAAATTTGGACTTAAATTACATTAGTAGGGAATTATGCTAATAGGATTAATACACCATTTACATCATTATTATATTAATGGTGTATTACGTAAATGTGAACCAGTTCCACTAAAAGTGGTGCTATTTAGTGAGGCAATTCTTTCACACTGCTCCAGAGGACAGCCATAACCTACAGCTTCCAAATGTGAATGTGTGAAGCAAGGCATGCTTCAGCACCGTTGTCTTAATAAACATTAAAGAGGTGGTATTCTGCTTTTTGGCTTTTCCCTTCTCCTTTATTGAGTTATATTTCTTTTTTGTGCATGTAACAGGTTTGCAAAGTGAAAAAGCCCAAAGTCCAGCCCCAAGGGAGTTCCCATCTCCCACAGAAAACACTACTCTGAACCGCTTGAAAACAGCTCATTTGTAGTCCAGCCCTTCACTTCCTTTACTTGTGACATCACAATGAAAACGCATCATAAAGCTTGCCAAGCAGCTAGCGGGGTCAGGCACGCCCTCAAACCAAGTTAGTCTGAGCGGAGGCCCTTTGGCTGGACTCACCTTTGTTTGGTTTTCCATTGTAGAAATGTTGTACCTGTAACCTGCTTCCAGGTACTTTTTTTCGTATCACCTCCATCGAGGTTCCAAGCGAGCTGAGGGATACTAAAATGTAACGTGAAAACACGACAGACTGCTGATTGGTCAGAGAGAATATTCACTATTCACTGCATCATCATTGCCTAAGCCAGACAGGCCAGCAACAGAAAGTTTTATATTTCATCACTAAATCCACTTTTGAGAAATTTTGAGGTGAGAAATCAGCTATAAAATATTGACAGTTTTACGAGAAGTGATGGCGAAACAAAAATGTGCTTGAATATTTTCGGAGTTGAGGAGCTCCGCAAGTGGGTGCGGGGGATGCCTGCGCCAACCCGCGGGAGGAGCGTGTGAGGCCGGCCAGCCGCCCGCTCACAGAGCCCTCAGCTCTCGCCGTCACACAGACCTTATCTGTCTTTACATTCTGAGGAATGTTGAAATGTTTTAACTTAAAAAAGAAAAAGCTGTGTGGATCGCTGGTCTGTATGTCGCATTGAACATTACGTCGCGGCAGTTGTGTGTGGCGTCGCTATGACAACAAGCTACGTACTATCTCTGGGTACTATCTGCAATAGAAAACGGAGCAGGGCCGAGTAGAGTCGAGTTTATCAATTTGCGCTAAGGTAGCATTTTTCGGCAAGGCAGACTTGATCATCAGAACACCGGCAACAGTTCAACGTTTAGTCCTGATGGTAAGATGTGCAACAATGATGTTGTGTGGTTGTGGACTTGTGAGTAACTTATACCATCTGCTAGGTTACGGTCGCAGTCTGAAGCGGCTTTGATTTAGACCCGCCCTTCTCTGCTTCCGACTGGCTAGTAGTCCTTACCTGGGAACTGCGCATGTGCAACTCCCAACAAAGATCAGATGCATCACTCTGTAGCTCCAGAGCGGAGCGTACAGCACATAGGGTGAAAAGAGGAGCTGCAGCAATGTGCAGTATGAGAAAAATATGGTGTTTTTTGAAAATTAAACCATGTACACCTGTTCTGGTACAACCCCTAATTAAGATTTTGAACCTGAAAATTAGCATAATACCACCTCTTTAAACAAAATGTTGTGACAAAATAACTAAAATCAACACATGATACAGGGGAGGAGAATCATGTCAATATCACAGCCGAAAAACTCTCTCATTCACACAAATGTGTAAGAACTAAAGGATGCATGTAGAATTCATAGTGATCTTACGAAATTAAATGTCAATATGTTAAACCAATTAACTCTAAATCTAATAAATCTCTTTGCCAGATTATTAAATGGTAAAGAGGTATTTATGGCTGCTGAGGACACACTCACCTCAGATCCTCTCAGTGAGCCTAGCTGTAATTTTGGATATTGATGCGCACATTCAAACAAAGGCTTGTATATTTCTGAGCTGATATGTGAAGCACTTTTCCTGAAAACTGATAAATCCATGTCGTATTGCTCAGTGAATATGAATAGGAACAGCATTCAGTGTCCTGAGAGGTTGTTTATCAGTGGTTGTGATTTCATTCTGTAGTGAGGTTTAAAATAATACAAGATATAATAGACGTGATAGTGTCATTTCAGAAGAGCCGGGGGAACGATGACCTGAGCTGTGCTGAAAGTAGCGTTAAAAGCTTTATATAGCACCCATTTAAAGAATACCCTTCAACGCTGGTAATAAAAGACCTGTTAACCATGTACCTTAGATCTTTGGGTGCATTTGTCATTTGGTGTTTTTTTCTTATTCTCATAGCGAGATGTGTCCAGTGCAGCATCAGTAGAGGTGGATAACATAAAATTATCAGTGTCTAAAACATACATGGTAAATGGCACATTTTTGTATCAGTTACTCAAATTGAAAGAGCAAGGACCATTTTGCGTGTGTCCTTCAGCTCATTCAATCATTCAACAAGAAATGTATCGAAGAACCAAGAGTAAGAGTAAATTAGATCCG